GAGGAGGGGGCCGGCTGGCCGGGGGGTGGGGAGCTGGGGGTCCCCCCCGAGAGGCGCCTGCCTGACCACCATTTGTCGCCCCACCAGGCCTCTTCACCCTCCTCGTGGAAGATTTCGGTAAGAGCCTCTCCTACCCGCCGGAGCCCGGCTGTGGGGACCCGCTCTCCCGCCCTCGCTGCATGGCCCGGAGCTGCCTTTCCCGACTTCTTTTCTTCCCTGACCGCAGGTGTCAAAGGGGTGCAAGTGGAGGAGATCTATGACCTTCAGAGCAAGTGCCAGGGGTGAGTGGCTTGGCGGCAGGACCGCCTTTCACGCCTCGAGGCCTAGAGGTGTCCCTCAAGGCGGGTGGTGTCCGGAACCCCACGTTGTAAAGTCTCACCTAAGGAAGCAGCCCTCCTCTTGGGGTGCCCTCCCGATCAAGCTGGTGTTTTTGTTTTCTCCATTCTCCCCTCATCACTTCCCTTTACGCAGTAGCACCTCCCCCAGTCGGTAAAAATTCCAACCATCCTTTGGAATACAGTTCAGCTGCTTTTTCTGGTCTGGAGCAGGAAGCCAGGCCCTTCTCTAGACCCAGATCACACCTACCTTTTGAGCAGCTGTCATTATTATTATTTTTTAAGTTTTATTAAGTTATTACATATGTGTCCTTATCCCCCCATTACCCCCCCATGCCCTCACCCCCCTGTTGTCTGTGTCCATTGGTTAGGCCTATAGGCTTGCATATAAGTCCTTTGGTTGATGAGCAGCTGTCATTATTAACGACTGCTTTAATGTGCCCGGTGTGCCGGTGCCTTTCATCTCCACACAAGGGTCTTGTATAGATTGGTTGGCACCTGTGAGGCCCTCCTGGTGACCAACCTCGAGGTCTTGTTTTGGTGTGGAGGAGCTGCTGTGGTGACTGCATGGAGAAGTCTGCTTTTATTTCCCCGCCAAGGAGGGGCTCATATTTTCTTCCTCGTCTGCTTTGGGCTCAGGCCTCGGGGTTCACCAGTGAGAATTAGTGTTTCAGTTCCTCATCAGAGTTTTTGTGCTCACCTTAACTTCTGTTCCTACCCTGCCCTGGGCCATTGGCTCCAGCTTTTCTTCTCTTATCCCAGAACCATAAACTTCGTGAGGACACTGGTGGACTCCTGGAGAACCACGGCCAGAAGCCGATGCTTAGCCTGCCTGTGGCGGGCTTCTGGGGTGTGAGGGCTCAGGGCCACGTTGGGCAGTGTTGGGAAGAAACCAGTGCAGGGGAACAGGGGGAGAGAAAAAGGGGGGGTACTGGTTTCCTCCCCCAACTTGGCTGGTTTAGCTCTGCTCCTTACTTTCCCCAGCCCCGTGTATGGATTCATTTTCCTGTTCAAATGGATCGAAGAGCGCCGATCCCGTCGCAAGGTCTCTACCTTGGTGGATGATACATCTGTGATTGATGACGATATTGTGAATAATATGTTTTTTGCCCACCAGGTGTGTTGGGCTCTGTGTTCTGTCTGGAGGGTGGGATGCTGCTATTGTCTTTGCTTGGGAAGTGGGAGTGGGAGAAGGCAGGAGGAAGAGATAGATAGATACTAAGGGTGGTGGTTATAGAAGTCCCTTGGCAGAAGGAACTGAGCTCTTATTCATTAAAAAAGGGAGCCTCTTTAGAGCAGTGTGGGATCGGAATCTACTTTCCATGTCCCCAGACATCTGATGGGTATTTAGTTAAGTGAACAAACATTGGGCAAAGATGAGGGTTGCTGTCCAGATATGACTGTCCCTCTCTGGGTTCCCATTCCTGATGAATGTGGGCTTCAATTGAGGGATGCTGTGCATGGGTGACTGTTCTTGGTTTCACAGCTGATCCCCAACTCTTGTGCCACTCATGCCCTGCTGAGCGTGCTCCTGAACTGCAGCAATGTGGACCTGGGGCCCACCCTGAGTCGCATGAAGGACTTCACCAAAGGCTTCAGCCCTGAGGTATGCCATGGTGCCTTAATCCTGGCTCACGGCTGGTGGGACACATCTGACCTCCAGGGCCGCTGGCGATGCCACTACATGACATATGGCACTGTGAGGCTTTGTATTTTTCACATGATCATTTACATTACATTTGACTCTTAAGTTAACTGTGGAAGGCAATTGGTTTTAGGCCCAATTGTCAGGAAAGGAGACAAACCTAGGGAAGAAAGGAACATTGCTTAAGTGACACCATTTTAGGACTTTGTTGGCATTTTGCAGGCCACATTGCTCCCAGTGTCCACTTATTACTGTGCAAGGCCATTAGAGCCCATCTGTTGGGGGCTCCAGAGCTCTCTTCTGCCCTTAGGAGAGTCTACCTGTGCTTCTTCAGATGCCTGGAACACCTCCAGGCCTGCACGTCTAAGCTCTGGTTCCCTCCCAGAGGCTCAGCTGAGAAGCTGTTCTGATGTGGTCTCATTTTCTTCCCTCTAGAGCAAAGGATATGCGATTGGCAATGCCCCGGAGTTGGCCAAGGCACATAATAGCCATGCCAGGTGTGTGGGAGCTGTGGGAGCTGTTGGGGGTGGAGGTAAGGAAGGCTGTCCCATTCGGGGCCCTGACTGTGTCCTTCCCCAGGCCCGAGCCACGCCACCTCCCTGAGAAGCAGAACGGCCTTAGTGCAGTGCGGACCATGGAGGCATTCCACTTTGTCAGCTATGTGCCTATCACAGGCCGGCTTTTTGAACTGGATGGGCTCAAGGTCTACCCCATTGACCATGGTAAGCACTATGAGCTGGGGGCCCTTTGGGTTTCTCTGCTTAACTCTTAAGGAGTTGGGGTCCAGGGTTGTCAGGTGCTTGGGACTCAGCGGGGGGATGGGGGGTGGGTATTCAGGACATCTGGCTTTGGCCACATGGCACCCTGCACTGCATTGCCTGATTAGCCCCTGACTCCCTGATTCAACTACTCTCCATCCTCCCTCCCATTCTTGGCTTGCCCAAACTCGGGCTTGCCACCTGCTGACTCCTTGTCTTGGTGTTCCTTAGGGCCCTGGGGTGAGGATGAGGAATGGACAGACAAGGCCCGGCGGGTCATCATGGAGCGTATCGGCCTCGCCACTGCAGGGTAAGGGTCCTGTGCCTGCCCTACCCTTGGAGCTGTGCCCCCATTGGGAGGGGCACAGAAAAGGGAACCAAGGCAGAGAAGCCAGGTGGTTTGTGCCATGGTGAATCTGGCAGGATCAGGCTTGAATCTAGGGCTCCAACTCATTGCTCTATGGCCTGCTTTGGGAAGGGGCAGGACTTGGAGCCCTTGGGGGCCCAGGTATGCTGGCTCACTTCCTGCCAGGCCCCTCACACCGCTTGTTGGAAGGCACCAGCTCAGGTGCCTGGTATGCATGGTCAGCTGCTGCCTGTCTGTTGGGGTGGGGCCTATACCCATGGCTGCAGGTGTGACTTCAGGGAGCCCTGCCAGGATATCTGCCTCAAGGTGATGGTGGGGCTGGGGTGGGAGCTGCTCTCACAGCTGCAGCTGTGACTGCAGGGAGCCCTACCATGACATCCGCTTCAACCTGATGGCGGTGGTGCCCGACCGCAGGATCAAGTACGAGGCCAGGCTGCATGTCCTCAAGGTGAACCGTCAGATAATACTGGAGGCCCTGCAGCAGGTGGGTACTCTCCTGCCCGGTCCCTGCCCAGCCATTTTGTCCTTCCCCTCACTGGGGCATCTGTCTATGATTCCCAAATCATCATGGATCTGGGCTTCAACTAACCACTCCTCTCCTTTGAGCCCTTTTTGGGAAAGCGGGGCCTGGGGTGGGGAAGGAAAGTAGTTTCTAAAAGGAGGTTTGGGTTTGACTTGTATTTTCCTGTGAGGGAGTGGGGAGAGCCAAGGCCCTTAGCTGTCCAAGGTAGAGGCTGGGGCTGCCTTCTCTCTTCTGAGCCTTGGCTTCTCTTTTTAGGTGATCAGGGTAACACAACCAGAGCTGATTCAGACCCACAAGTCTCAGGAGGCACAGCTGCCTGAGGAGTCCAAACCAGCCAGTGGCAAGTCCCCCATGGCTCTGGAGGCGAGCAGGGGCCCAGTGTCCTCTGAGGGCACCCACACAGGTACTAGGGGTCTTAGGGCCTCTCATGGGCCTCAGAATGACCCCTCATAGCTTGACCTGGAAGACCTGAAGGCACTTGGGCAGTGATTCAGACACTGCTATGGAAGGCCTGAAGCCCAGTGCTTGCATCCCTTTCCCATCCGAACATGGAGGGAAAGCAGTTTTCCCTAAAGAAAGGCATTTGTAAAGGGCTACTGTTACCACAGGCCCCTGCACCTTTCCTGTAATGCATAGTCCCTTTCTGGTTTTCTTCAAGGCTTTTTTTCTTTCTGCCTCCCTTTCTTTTTCCATCTTGTTCTCTTGTCTTGCTGTGGGCCCATGACTGACTTCCATCCCACCAGCTGGCTCAGCTGTCACAGGACTGGGGAGACAGCGGGCTGGGGACAGCTTTTTTTGAGGATCTGGCTGAAGGTCCTGCCTGTGCTTCTCTCAGACGGTGTGGAGGAGGTGGCTGGTTCATGCCCACAAGCCCTGACCCACAGCCCTCCCAGCAAACCCAAGCTGGTGGTGAAACCTTCAGGGAGCAGCCTCAATGGTGTTCCCCCCAACCCCACTCCCATCGTCCAGCGGCTGCCAGCTTTTCTGGACAATCACAACTATGCCAAGTCCCCCATGCAGGTGAGCTGGGAGTGCCCCACAGGAGTCCCTCCAGGATTCTTGCGAGAGGCTGCCATGGGAGTGTCCTCAGGTGGTTCTTTGATGTTCAGCCCCCACCTGGGCCGGGTTCCTCTGTCTGATACTCGGAAGCACCCACAAAGGCAGGGGCTTAGGCAGAGAGAGCTCCGCTGACTTTGAATCCAGCCACACAGTTATGGGGCTAAACGTTTTGGTCATGTTCCTTGGTACAATTCTGTGGGTTGGATTCTGCTGCAAAATGAAGGCACAAGACTCTCTCTGAAGCCCTGTGTAGGCAGGTAATGGGGGTGGGCAGCAGCTTTTCCCAGAGCCAGGGCTGGGCTTGAACACCTGGAGGGGTTCTGACTTGACCTGAGAGCCATTCCGGCTTTCTCTCTGGCTGTGAATGTGATGCCTAGCCTGGGCTGACTGACGCCTGCTCATGGCTACCCTGGGTTTTGCCTCAGGAGGAGGAAGACCTGGCAGCAGGTGTGGGCCGTAGCCGAGTTCCAGTTCGCCCACCCCAGCAGTACTCCGATGACGAGGACGACTATGAGGATGAGGAGGAGGAGGATGTGCAGAACACCAACCCTGCCATCAGGTCAGCTCAGCTCTAGGCTGGAGGCTCCGAGTGCTGCAGATCCTATCTTGACTATTTCAGTGTGTATCTGAGAATGCCCTTCAGCAGATGGATAATACTGAGCACCTGCTGAATACAGGGTCCCTGCAGGGGGCGGGGGCTGCCATGAAGGGGCTGATTGCAGGTACCAAGAAGCTTTGGGAGGGATGGGGGGAGGGCTGAGCACATTTAACCAGACATCAAAATATGTTCTGTTGGGAGGTGGCCTTTTGGTTAGGTTTTGGAAGAAGAATTGGGTGAAATGGAAGGAGGAGATAGGGTAGGGGTAGCTTTTCTGGAAGACATGGCATTGGCAAAAGGCCAGCAGCTGAAGTAGAGAAGGTGTCCTTTGAGGACACCTGGCTGTAGCTGTCAGAGCTTAGGGTGCCAGGCTTGGCTTGGCTGGGTCAGGCTGCTTGGCATGAGGAGCTGCAGGGTCAGTCCCTGGATGCCAGGGTGTGTGCAGACAGTTCTAGGCATTGCTGGGTGTGTGGTCATCTGACCCAGTCCCTTGGCTCATGTCTCATTGGGCCCCACAGGTACAAGCGAAAGGGGCCAGGAAAGCCAGGGCCATTGAGTGGCTCCGGGGAAGGGCAACTGTCGGTGCTGCAGCCCAACACTATCAATGTCTTGGCCGAGAAGCTCAAAGAGTCCCAGAAAGATCTCTCGATCCCCCTGTCCATCAAGACCAGCAGCGGCGCTGGAAGTCCGGCTGTGGCAGTACCCATGCACTCGCAGCCCTCGCCCACCCCCAGCAACGAGAGCACAGACACAGCCTCTGAGATTGGCAGCGCTTTCAACTCACCACTGCGCTCACCCATTCGCTCGGCCAACCCCACACGGCCCTCCAGCCCTGTCACCTCTCACATCTCCAAGGTGCTTTTTGGAGAGGATGACAGCCTGCTGCGTGTTGACTGTATACGCTACAATCGCGCTGTACGTGACCTGGGTCCTGTCATCAGCACAGGCCTGCTTCACTTGGCTGAGGATGGTGTGCTGAGTCCCCTGGCACTGACAGGTGGGCCTCGTGCTGACTCATTGGCCACTTGATGTACCAGGGATGGAAGAGGGAGGTAGCCAAGTGACCACCAAGTGTCCTGCACTCTGATGGGTCTTCTCATGTCTTCTTTTCCCAGAGGGTGGGAAGGGTTCCTCGCCCTCCAGCAGACCAAGCCAGGGTAGCCAGGGGTCCGGCAGCCCAGAGGAGAAGGAGGTGGTGGAAGCTGCAGATGGCAGAGAGAAGTCTGGGCTGGCCAGGTCTGGTGAGCCCTTGAGTGGGGAGAAGTACTCACCCAAGGTGAGCCCCTGCAGTTTTCTAACCCTGGCAGAGGGAAGGGCCTGGGGGCTGCTGCCTAGAGCTGGGTTCTTGATTGGAGTTTTGGTGGGGAGGTTGGTGGCTGTGAAGCCTATCTGGGTTGGGTAGTAGAAGCTTCGGTCAGCTCCAGGCACTCTGGTGCTTATCCTTGCCTCTCGCTGCTTCCTGGTAGTGTGGCTTTGGTGCTGGCGCCAGCCTCCCTCATGGGTGCAATGCTGGGTTTTGGCAGGAGCTGCTGGCACTGCTGAAGTGTGTGGAGGCTGAGATTGCAAACTATGAGGCTTGCCTCAAGGAAGAAGTGGAGAAGAGGAAGAAGTTCAAGGTGGGTAATTTCTCCAGCTGCCTGGTCCTCTGTCCATGACTGTCTTCCCGGAGGTGCGACTTCTTGAGGTCAGCTGGTGGCAGCTCTGGGGAGATGCCGCAGTGCCCTCCTCCTTTTCTCCCACAGATTGACGACCAGAGAAGGACACACAACTATGACGAGTTCATCTGCACGTTCATCTCCATGCTAGCTCAAGAAGGTGGGGGTCCTCACTATTGCGTCTTACCTGGCATACCCTGCTGAGGGCCATGTTCCTCAGGTCCCCCCTCCGCCAGGCCTCTGCTGGGGATTGAGCAGGCGGTGGGTCTCAGGGAGGCCCATAAGACCCTCTGCTCTTGGCCTGAGTCTGTGGCCTATTGAGCAGGTGGCTGCTAAGCATCCAGCCACCTGCTCAAGGGCCTCTGCCTCTCTGCAGGGATGCTGGCCAACCTGGTGGAGCAGAACATCTCGGTGCGGCGGCGCCAAGGGGTCAGCATTGGCCGGCTCCACAAGCAGCGGAAGCCTGACCGGCGGAAACGTTCACGCCCCTACAAGGCCAAGCGCCAATGAGGATGCTGGCCCCAACTCTGCAGCCTGCTCTTGCCTTGTGGCCTCACCAGGGCCCCTTCCCTGCCCCACTCCCCCTTCCCAGTATTACTGAATAGTTCCAGCCAGAGAGCTCAGACCCTGGAAAGGGAAGCCAGGCCGGGATTCCCTGCATTGTACTCGGGTAGGTTAAGCCCATAGTGCTCAGGAAGCAGCAGCTGGAGCTGGGAAAGCGAGGTGCTACAGCTTTCTTCACAGCCGGCTGTGGGGCTGCAGGACCTGGCCTTTCTGCCTGGGCAGCAGAATATATATTTTACCTACAGAGACGTCTATTTTTCTGGGCTCTGGCCCATTTTGCCACCACTGTGTTGACATAGCCGGCTTCCTGACTCTGCTTTCTCTCCTAACAATTGCCATCCTGGTGGGGCCTGGGTGGCTTGGGCCTGCTGCTCTAGCTGTAGCAGCCAGTTGTCTCTTGTAAGGAAGCCAGGTCTGCTCTTCATTCCTCCTGGGAGAGCTCCAAACTCAGGGACCTGGCTTCTGGGCTAGGTTGGGAGTGGGGTGTCCCAGCGGGGGTGAGGGGAGCAACCTGCTAGAGCAGAGAGGAGTGTTTGAGCTGTTTGGTGGTTTGGTCCCTTCCTGGCTCTAGTTGGGCTTGTCAAGTCTGCTCTCCACAGCAGGGCTCTGGGGCTCTTTGCCTTCAGTGTTGTGGCCCTGGCACTGGGCCTGCCTTGGACTCCTGGGCTCCGTCCTGGAGCCTGGGGCTCAGAGGAGCCCCTGCCCAGCCCCTCAGTATTACCACGTTTCCCTCCTGGTAGCAGAGACAGGGCTGCTTGCAGGAGACTGGCACTCCTCAGCTCTCCCTGCCACACCAGCTTCCTCAGCCTTTGCAAGGCACTCAGGGTGGGGACTGCAGGACCAAGACAACCATTTGGAAACCATATGTTCCCGGAGGGCCTGATGCCAAGGGGTAACGGGCCCAGAACTGCCTCTGGAGCTCAGCCCCCAAACATAGCCCCATACCTTCTGACAGATGGCTTTGAAAGAGATCTAAGGAGGCCCCTTATCTGTACATAGTGATCTGGGAGAGGGGTGGGGAACAGCTGGCAGCCCTGGCAGTTGTCTCTGCACTGAGCATAGCCTGACCCCTCAACCCCTTGTAAATATTGGATCACTGAGTGAATAAAACTCTCCTAAAGAAATGAACCCTCCTGTGGTTGCTGGCTTGAGGTTTGTAGGCTAGGTGGAGGTGGGAGTGAGGAGCTAACCAGGCCTGGCCCAAGGTTCAAAGACCAAGGTGAGAAATATGCATTCTTGGGTATTCAGCTTTCTGGGGCAGAGATTTTTGGGACCTGGGCCTGGAATTCAGGACCTGAGCTGAGGAGGGGCCTCGGGGGGCTGTGGAACCTGAAGAGTTGTGTTAAAGGTACACTTTGGGAGGAGAAGGCCATGCCAAAACTTTCACGAGATCTGACAGCTTTGCCACCTGGAGAGATGCTGGGGTTCTGGGCTGAAGCAGGGCTGCCTCTAGTCCTGCTGGGCGTGCTCTCCCTGGAGGAGCTCTGTGATCTTGGAGGGGTCCCCTCTCCTCTTGTTGTACCTGGACAGGTCCAGCAGGTCAAAGCTGCTACCTCTGCCACCTCTTCCCCTTGCTAACCACATTCTCTTTTGAGGCTGCTGTAACCTCTTATCCCCACTGTTGCCCTGGTAGTGAGTCCTACAGAAGGGGCCTGATGTAAGCAGGTAAGGCTCAGTTGGACTGCTTAGAAAACTCAAAAACTCAAATTTAATGGTTCCCACCCTTTTATCCAAGTCTAGTAGTCCAGGGCACAGATGAGGGCTACACCACGCTTTATCCAGTGTCGCTGAGGCTGGTCGGAGGGGATCTCCACAGCAATGACATAGTTGGTGGAGTGGCCTGTGGTTGATAGTGTTCCTGGAACAGGCAACAAGGGGGGAGGGTTAAGTTGTCTGCCACAGTTAGAGAAGGGATAGGGTAAAGGCAATGGACTTGGCAGATGTGGGGACAAGGAAGGAATCCTGGCCCAAGGGCAGCCTGCTCAGTGATGGTCTGGACAAGGCTCAGGCCTGTCCAGGGTTAATGCACTGACTGAGGACAGGCAGTAATGGGAGAATTGACGCCATCACTCATTTCCTGTTGGACTCGGCCCTGGCCCATCCCTCCTCTCCAGGCCTCAGTTACCCCTCTGAACCTCCACTGTCAGGCTAGGGCTCCCAGGACCCACGGTGGATCTGCTGAGGGAGGCAACAAGATGGTGACCTCAGGGGCCACCATAGACCGAGCCAGCTGCTGGGCACCTGCTGCTGCCAGACTGTCCTGCCTGGTTGGTCTTAGGACTGCTGGCTGACCTCTTGGCCATCTTGTTCAGCTAACCTGGATCAGCCTAACTGGCCTGAGCTGGCCCAGGCCTGGGCCCCCACCTGTGGTGTAGGCTCCCTGCCCTGGGCCTCATACCAGCACGGGTTAGCGTCTTGTAGATGGGGCACAGGTAGAAGGCCTGGTCCTGAACCTGGCGGTTGGACACAGGTAGGAGCCAGATAACAGCCATCTCTGTGTATAGCTCCTTGGGTCGAGACTCGGCCAGCTGGAAGTCCGTGGGGTCCCAGCGGGCACCTTCCAGGAACAGTCCATGGATGTAGCACCCCTCTGCAGGCTTTTGCTTGAGCTCTGACACTGACTGGCGCAATACCTATGGTGGGCACACAGATATGCCCCACACATATCAACACCCAGAATCTGGGTTAGAATTTGGGTCCAGAGGCACAAACTCCCTCCTGAGCTTTGCCTACCTGCCCATCATATGCACCATTTTACCTGGTAGCCTGCAGTCTATGTCCTGCCCCTTGTGATTTCCCTGGGCTCATGGCCTCTTCTGGCCCGCTCTCCTTTCCCCCCAACCCCTACTCAGGGGTCCTCTGACTCTTGAGGTCAGCCAGCTGTGGCCTTAGGCTCCCCTTGTCTGGGCTGTACCCCAACTTGTCACCTGACCTGGCCCTAACTGTATCCAGACCTTGAAATCGAAGGAGATGGTGTCGATGGAGATGACAGACTTGCGGGCAAAGTTCTGCAGGGTGCCTGTCAGGAAAGCCTGGGGGAAGAAGAATCCACTGATCCAGAAAACAGCTGGGATGCCCTCTTTGATCCAGGTGTGTATGAAGTCTAGGCGCTGCAGCAGATCCTGGACCCATGAGGATAGTGGCTTGAGTGATGGGTAGGCCTTGGCATTCCAAAGCTCGGGCACAGTGTTGTTGTACAGGCTGGCAGCCATCAGTTCCAGCTCCAAGGACATCACCACCAGCCCCTTGAGTGCCTTGAGCAGATCTCGCAGCGACTGTGTGATCACCTGCATCAGCCGGTTGTACCTATGGGCCAGTGGCAAGGAGGCAGGCAGTGGGCCAGGGCCCTCTAGCAGCATCTATACTCCCCAGTTGTGGGCCATAGGCAAAAAAAACCCCCAAAACAATGGCTGAATATAGAGGCCACAGCATAGAGCTGGTTGGGTAGCCTGGGTACCAATCCCAGCTCTGATCCTTAGCAAATATGTGACCTTAGTTCACTTAACCTTTTTGCGTCTTGGCTTACTCATTTGTAAAATGGGATAATAAAACTGGCTGAGTTAGAGGATGGATTTATTGCACTTGTATGGCACCTGGCCCATAGTACCTCTTCCTGTCATTTCTCTACAGCCCAGTGGTCTACTGACTCAGGGTTGGGGGTGGTGGGGGATTACCGAATGACCTCCTGTATTAGCACCGTATTCATTGACTCCTCATATAGCACAGGGTACGTGGTCATCACAAACTGCAAGTTGATGGGCTCAGGTATCTGGAGTAGAATGTTCATGGCCACATCTTCCACTATCTGTAGGGGCAAAGAGATAGTGGGGGTCAGGGCTGGCTCCCACAACCCTTGTAGGATTCCACATGCACAGAGTTCCATCCCACAAGGGAGCAGGCAGGGTGGTGGGTGGGAGATTAGCCCTGCCCAACCCTTGGGCCCTTTCCCTCCCACTGTCACCCACCTCCTCTCTGCCCTGACCGCCCACAGAGGATGATTTGGGTTGCAGCTGTATGATAGCACCAAGCAGAGCAAAAGTCTCATTTTGGGCAAATGTGATGTTGGCGTTGTCATGCAGGCCAAAGATCTCAGGCATGTCGTTGAGAGGAAGGCCTTTGATATAGGAGAGGTAGCCCTGGGGGATAGGAAGGCACAACAGCTGAAGCCCCGCTGTGGTGGTCCTCCAAGTGAGCACAGCCCCCACCCATCACCCTGGTTGTAACCCTATTATTTTTGGGACTCCAAGACCCCTGAGGCATCATGTGGGTGGCCCCTTCTCACTGCCATCCATCTCCCTGCTCCTTCATTTGGCTGCTCAAACCTGTCACACTCCCTCCTTTCTACTGATGACCCACACTCGGGAGTGCCTGACCCAGCCCCCGAACGCTCCTCACACACCTTAGCCTCCCTGACTGTGCGTTGGGTTGGATTGCCCCTGCCTCACTGAGTGCTCCCAGGCACTGGTAACTGTCTTTGTGGGATGGATTAGTCAATGAGAAGGAGCTAGTGTAGGGCAGGGGCCAACTCCTCTCACCCCGCACTCAGGTGTCCACAGTACCCTAGAACCCAGGCCGTGCTCACGTTGAGGTCGTAGGTGGGTTGGATCTGGTGGTAGATGCCTGAGTCGCTGTAGATGTGCTCGGGGAGGAGCACTTCGGGGTTGTAGAAGTCCTCCAGGATGTTCATGATGCAGCGGCGGTCCCAGTCATCCGTGACACGGCCCCCATAGTTGATCTCCCCTGCCGTGTACTTGAGGACCTATGCAGTGGGTAGGTGAGAGGGCCCCACGAGCGCCTGGCCCCCTGCCCCCAGCCTGGCCCCAGCCCACCTTGTAGGGGATGTCCTCATACTCATCCAGGAACATCTTGAGCTGGCTGATGCAGATGCGCAGGTCCCCGTCCGTGAACTCATAGGGGATGTTGAAGCCCAGGGGCCCAAACTTGCGGCGCTCCAGAGCATTGCCATGGAAAAGGCACAGGGACAGCAGCAGGGACTTGAACTCCATCGCCTGCGAGAGGTGAGGGGCGGGGACGTGAGGGGTGAGGATCAGGGCAGGTAGGCAGGGCACTGCCAAGTGTGCCTCACCTTGTGACAGGAATTGAGGAAGTCATCGCTGAGGCTGCTGTAGGACTTGAGCAGGTTGGCCTTAACGCCACGCGGTGGCTCGATGGTCATCTTGGAGCCATTCTGCAGGATGGACACTGGGAACTTGTTGCTGGGCAGGCTGGTCAGCCACAGGCGGAAGTCCCGGTGCACCTGGTGGCCATGTTCCACACGAGCATTAGGACCCTTACCTGGTGGCCTCCCCAACACCAGGCTTCCTCCTACCCAGGGACCATGGGCCACCCCACCCTCTAGGTGGGCCAGGCCAGACTGCATGGACCATGGGTTAAGAATATGAGCTTTGGCAAGTCCCAGGGTCACCGGTTTGTGCTGGGTGGCTTTGTGCGAGTCACATCACCACTGGTAATGTGAACTGGGTGAGCCACTGGGAAGACTAATGCAATCAATGCATGGTCCATCTGTCGGTTCCCAAGCACTCCCAGTGTGCCTGAGCGTTTTGTGGGACCATCGCATCTAGCTTCACAGTCTGGGTAGACACTCAGTACTCCCTCAGCAGAGGAGGCTGGTGCACCTTGTCGGGATTGATGTGTTCAATGAGGCGCTCGAGGGCTGGCATCCAGCTGGGGGCCAGGTGGCAGTTCTGGAAGAAGACCCACTTGCCCCTCTCTATGGAGCTGCGCATCATGGCTTCTGCCAGAGGGCCCTGTGGGGGCGGGAGTGCTGAGTGGTGGGACCAGCTGGCCTGGCCCCTCCTCACCCTCCTTGCCCCACTCCTACCTGGCCCTGGCCCAGGGAGATGGCAGAGAGCTTCTTGGAGAATTTCATCTCTTCAGCAAACTTGTACAAGTCAGCTGCGGGGTCAGTGCCAGGCGACAGCACAAAGATGAGGGGTGTGGTGGAGTTGGATTCTTTGAACACCACTGACAGGTTGGCTGTCTGCAGGGCAGGGAGAGATGCTGGGGCTAAGAGGGCACAGGGACCCGGGCAAGGGAGGGCAATCTCGGGGCTTCCCGAGAGTTCCCAGGAGGGCTTATGAGTGGGGCCTGGAGGGGTAGGGCT